TAATACTTTGTTTTTATGGCATGTACATTTGGCAGAGCGCCAGAATCCTCTCAGCAAGGCTGGCCCCTGTATTTTGGGAAAAGTTGGGACTTGGCTCTCAGGAAAGTAAGTGGAAACAATAGTTTCTAAATTTTACAGCAAGTCTGTCTCTTACTACTGAAGGCTGAGATGCCAACTCCCTCTAGTTCCAATCAGCTTTGCTTATCAATATTTCAAGTCATTATAAATTTAAAGGAGCAATGCCTGAGGTTAATGTGTTAAGTATTAATGATTGCAGGCTCTGGAATTGGCATTATTAGCGACATAACCTCTGGATCAACCTTTAGCTTTATAATTAAGACACGATTTGAGATTTAGTTTACAGGTCTCCAGTGAAACTGTGGCATTTTCAGGTGCTTTATGGTAGATTTAAGTAGGAACCTAGTCTAAAAAACCCACCCCACTCTATAATGTGTAGTAATTCTTAGTTGACATTGGATACACCAGAAGAAATCCAAGACTCAGAAAACCACATTACTAGCCTTTGTCTTTGTCCCCATTTTGCTCTGAAAACTTTCTAAATTAAGGAAAACTTTACCCTGCCGGTGTCTGCAGAAAGACTCTTCAGGTTCTCATTTCCCCGTCCTTGTTCTCTGACCCTGTACAGCTGCCGAGAGCCCTGCATGCTTCTAAACCGGCGAGGTTCTGCTGTGTGACGGCAAGGGACATGCCTGGGGTGTGTTTCCTCCGTGTGCGACCCCCAACACCAAACCCATTCGCTCAGGCGTAGCACAGGACTGGGATTTGCCCCTTGGTTATTTCCTGGCATCAAAATACTGAATGGCTAATTGCTGATCTTAGCATCGCTCTGCAGAGCTCCACTGGAGCCTGTTGCCTTGGCTCCACTGGACAAACTAAATGCTGCAGGGCACGTGGAGTTTGCACTCCACTTGGTTTGGAGTCTGAAAGTTTGCTACTAGTCTCAGGCCTTCTGGCTCCGAAGGCAGCATAGGCTAGTGCCATTGATAGAAACTAATTAGACTTTGTAAGTAAGAGTCAGTTTTAAAAATCTATTAACATAAGCAGAAGCCAGCGAAACGGGTAGTCAGAGGAGCGCTGGCTATTGATTATCAAGTTTCAGAGACTATTTCTGCTAACCATCAGGGTTTCTTCAGCTCCGTTGGCAGAATAGAAATAGTGACAGACATTGGGGTGCAGAGCGTGGCAGATTTGTTAAAGAGCTAGGATGTGTCCAGGCAAGGCTGGAGAACTGCGTATGGCGGAGGAGGAGTTAACGTGCCCAGAACAAGGGAAGTGGGTTTGAGAAGACTGGACACCCCTGTGGCGGATGAAGGGCTAGGGCTAGGGAATGCTCTTGTCCCAAACCGAAAGGAAATGAGGAGCTTGGGAAGCCGTTCACTGCCTGGTTCTGTGTTCATAGACTTGATTGCTTTGCTTTTTCTTGTTTTTAATCGGAAAAGGGCTTCTGATAAGATTGAACAGAATCCAGTGCAAACTGAAATATAAAAACAGATACGTAGCCCCCCAAATGCGGTGGCAATGGGAGCCTAGAACCTGAAGCTAGGTCTGTCTACTGGATGTTGGATACTAGCAGGCATCAAGTTGCTCCTCTAACCCGTTAGGAAGCCTGGCTGGATTTGAGCATAGCTTGTGTCTTGGCCCATTTGGTGTCTTCTGTAAGGCTGTTTTAATAGAGCTGAGTTTTGAGAAGTCCATGGGAGCTTTGCCTTCGCCTTCAGTAGTTTCAGGATTGGGGCCCCGGTCAGCAGTTAGAGCCTGCTGAGTTTAGCATAAATGGGGAGGAAAATGCTCCCAACAGTGGAAGTTTTTCATTTGAAAACTTGCAATACTGGGATTGGGGTGTGTGTGTGTCTAACGTTCCTGAGCTCTTTGCAGATCTAATGCCCGAGTGAAAAGGAAGATGTGGTGGATGTTGTATCCTTAGATTTTCAAAGGCATTTGGTAGGATTGCATATGAAAGATAATTCACTCGGGGCCTGATCCAAAGCTCACTGAAGTCAATTGAAGGTCCCCTAGTGACTACAGCGGGTTTTGGTTTGGGAGCTAGAGCAGCAAGGAAAGGGTTAACACTGGGATTAGAAGTACATTAAAATGGTTCATAATATGTTGTGTAAATGGTAGTTTTTCTAACTGGAGGAATGTTCGTGATACACTGGATCGGGTACTATGGGGCCTCTCTTCTGTGAAGTTATGGGTGGGTCAGATTAGAATATCAGATGCAAGAGATCAAAGGCTTAGGATGAAACAAAAACAGAGGTGCAGAAGGTGTCATTAGAAAGCACGGACGCCACTATTGTAGCTACGCTTCCGGTTCCGTAGAATCAGCAGGATCTTTCCATGTGGGGTCCTGCAATGGCGGCTCCCAGCAGGGCAGGACGGCGGGTGGGAATGGAGACCTGTAGAAATAGTAAAAAAAACGAGGCACCTTGTGGCACCTTAGAGATTAACACATTTATTTAGGCATAAGCTGTCGTGGGCTAGAACCCACTTCATCAGATGCATGGAGTGAAAAATACAGGAACAGGTATAAATACATGAAAGGATGGGGGTGCTTTACCAAGTGTGAGGTCAGTCTAAATCAATTAACAGCAGGATACCAAGGGAGGAAAAATAACTTTTGAAGTGGTAAGAGAGTGGCCCATTACAGACAGTTGACAAGAAGGTGTGAGTAACAGTAGGGAGAAATTAGTATTGGGGAAATTAAGTTTAGGTTTTGTAATGATCCAACCACTCCCAGTCTTTATTC